AGGAGAAATTACCCTGATTCCCCCCCAAAAAGGCAAGAGGCACAGAGCAGGAGACAACAACGAGCAAAGGAGAGGTTATAGGCTAAATACCACAGAGTACGAAAACCCAAGTGTGGCGAGACTCCTCCAGTGTATCGACGGGTGTCAAGTACGCCAAAAGCATAAAATCGGGCCTTACGAGAACGGTTCGGGTTACACCCAACCCGTGCCTAACCGCAAACCAACGCCAACAATCTGGCTGCCTTGCATTTCTGCATTTTCTGCCAATTGTGTCCTGAGTCACTCTCCCTTCTTGGCTTGCGTTCATTTCCCCTCAGCAAAAAATACTGGTAGGAACTGGATATCGGCCATGCACCACACATGGTGAGAGATACCGCAAGAGTGGCAGTATTTGAAATCTTTGAAATGATGGAAGGCATACGTACGCATGGTATACACCACCCCGATCATGTCGCCTCCAGACCGCACACACGTAGATACGAAAGTTATTTTCAAGGCTGCGGGTTGCCACCTTCGTAGGGCTTCCGCGTCCAGCCTCCACTCCCCGTTCACCACGCTCAGGGGCACATGCTTCGCCACCCCCCCAGCCATCCGAATCTGTCCCAGGTAGAGATCGAAGAAGGGCTCCAGCAATACCACCTCGTCCCCGGGGGAGAGGATCGCCTGGAAACTGACGTACAACGCTTGCGACGCCCCGATGGTGATGGCCACCTTGGAACAAAAGAGAGATGATAGGGCAGAGGAAAAGAGGAAGGTAGTCAATATAATTCGCGGCCGAGGTCTGGAGATCGACAAGACTCGCATCATTACACAGACCGGGAAGTACGTCAAGCGCGGGGAGGGAGGAAGAGGACTACTAAAATTCTTTACCGTGGCACGGGGTCTTTGTAGTCGCGTGAAAGGATGAGGCTTGCCTCCACACAACCTACCTGGCGACAGCGTTGGATCAACTACTTCCGACACAGCGACACGAAAACAAGAGCAGCCTTCGATCGAATCCTGTCCATTTCTGACGTGCCAGCAGCAGTCACCCGCTCCTCTCATCTGTATCTATGTACCATATGCTCTCACCTGCGAGAAGGGGTCAACCTCCCTGCCGAAGTGCTTGCTATACCGCTTGGCCAGCAGCTGGACCAGTCGCGGGTGTCCCGCCGTTCGCGTGTACTGGTGAAACCCCTCTGAAAGGGCCTTCTGCGCAGCGGCCACCACAAAGTCTGGAGGGTTCCAGTTGGGGAACCCCTAGAAGGCGTGTTTCGCAGACACACAGAGCAAGGGACAAGACAAGAGCGTCGAGGTGTGAAAAATGAACTGGGGCATCATCTTAAAAGGCCAGAGAGAGGGACTTGCGACCGACTCGCTTTCTCTCAACAGCGGTAGTGGTGCACAACCGCTGTTGTTCCGAAACCCTGCTGTTAGCAGCCTAAACGTCGCAACTCTCCTTCCCGCGAGGAGCGAGCGTTGCATGAGGATAGGAGATTACAGCCAAGGAAGGCCCAGCGGTGACGGGTGGGTCAGAGGAGATGGATCACCAGACCGAGGATGGTCAAAACAAAACGCACGTTCCCGATTCGATGCTCCTTTATTAATTCATTCAAAGTCAATCAGTACTTTCTGACATCGGGCACGCGGTGTGCCGATGAGGAGCAAACAGTGAACGAAAACGATCACCATGATAACAATTGACGTGGGGGACAGCAACCAACCTGGCCTAGATTAACGGGAGCTCCAGTTTCGGCTGCCAAGCCGCTGAACTCGCTCCACACAGTAGGGCCCGCACTGGAAGACTTCATCTCCCTCAACGCCGGGATCTCCAGCTCTTCCGGGTTGGCACCGTGCGGTGGCTCAACTGCAAAGTAGAAACACGAGGTGTAGGAATGTCCAAATGGACACCGCGTTAAGGCAGTCGGGGTTGAGAGTTCCAAGGGATACACCGCGACACAATTTCTCCGCAAATAGCCCTAAGGTTGTTACATCTTCCATGCCTTGCGCGAGTGCATCGCCCAGGAAAGGTCAGCCGCTGAGAGCATGTGGGAGGAGGGGGTAGCGGAGACGTGCACCCCTGACGCCTTCCTGAACAACGTGAATCACGCGTGTATCTCTTTTTGAACTTCTACATAAAAATACTCTTGTACCTGTTCGCTGGTTGCCCCTCACCTTCAGTCGGGCAGCCCCCTTCGAAGCAGACGTCGTCACCTGCGGGGGGTGGGAGAGCAGCAGAGACGCTCTCCGCCAGGCCTTCCACGGCAGCAGCACCGCCACCGTTCAGGCCGCGGTCCGCGCCTTTGTTGCTTGCCTGTTGTTTCATTGTACCGCCCGGTCCCGCCAGGAAAATACCCAGGAGATGAACGGGATGGGAGGAAAGGGAGCACACATTGTAGGACAGATCAGATCCTCACATCTTTCGTACGGTGTGTCCTTTGTGATCGGAAGGACAAAAGTGATATAAGCATGTTGCGTGCTCCCTGGTGATCTGTCAGGCACAAGTGATCTGAGTATGTTTGCTCCACGGTTATCTGTGAGGCACAGGTGATCTGAGTTTCGCTCCATGGTGATGTGTAGGACAGAGGTGAGCTAGCTCATGAAGTGGCCTGTCTGTGAAAGGGTCGTGCATGCAAAGGCGGAGAAAATATTGGAGTATTTATAAAAAGTTGATGTCAATCGTGAAAAACAACGGCGGGATAATTATGCTGACCAAACGAGTCGACCTACGTAACCCTCTGCATTCTGTGAGCGCGGCAAGGTATTCTTCCAATACGGCCGCAAGCTGCCCCAAAGTCGCCAACAGAGTTGTAGTTTCGCAAAAAAATGCAATCAGTCAAAAAAATAACGCAAGTGTTCGAGACTAGCCTTGACAGCAGTTGTGAGTGTTGAGGGAAACATGTTGACTCTGGATGCTAGTATGTTTCAGTCTGCTTAAGCCCACATGCACACTGAGAGATTGACGATGCAACAGAAACAAAAACACCTGCATATGCAAAGGTAGATACGATAAATTTTATAACATCTGCTGCAGGTCTCTCCGCTACATGCCATTTGCTATTAAATTCTTCCTTTTTACATTTTGGTATGCAAAATAGAAAAGGAGCAATTCGCGCATCGCAGTGTCTTTTGGCTACTCAGTACTCGCTACTTGGAAGTTGTTTTAGGTTTAGAGCCAAATGGACTTGAAAACTGCGCTCTTTCATCTCCAAGCAAAACATGTACTTCCAAAACATCAAAGAATTTATGTCCATCGAGAGAATGTTTGACTTGACCCAAGAAACTGCTGATGCCGTCTGCCATCATTGAGGTATGTATGCAAACGCATATACAGATGACTGGTAAACGTATCAGTTGTAGTATAGACGATCACCTGGTTGAGACTGAGTGTTCTTTTTTGTTTTGTTTTTGTGTATCATGATGTGATGTTTTGATATTTTTCCATTCAACCTGTGTAAGAATGATGGTTGAGACAAGTTGAGTCTGCAACAGTTTTTCAAGCGCTTGAACTTCCGGCTCCCTAGCTCCCGGCTAATGATGTGTGCCGGTCTGTGAACTGGTTGGTTCGACTGCGGTGCCTAGAAAGGAAGGGGCGTAATTGCCAAAATTACTCGAAAGCAGACAAGACGCCAAGTAGGCGCCAAGTAAAGCGGAGAGAGCTGATTCGCGGACGCCAAGCTAAATCTATCCCGGTGACTTTTTTTGCTGGCGGAATTCCTTTTACTCTTGGATGATGCATCTCGACCGACGGCTAAGACGCCTGTGTGAGTGTGTTGTAGTTGTAGTCACGGTGTGGGGCAGCCGCAACCGCAGCCGCAACCGCAGCCGCAGCCGCAGCCGCAGAAGGTGCTTGGCAGCGTCTGTTTCAAGTACAGCAGTAGAGAAAGTCATACGGGTGTCTGGTATCTGGTACTACGTGCTTTTTTGGGCATCTTCCAGAAACTATGCGTACGACCTTTAACACAAGACTACACCCGTTGCTAGACAACATGGCACGGCGCCCCGATCGAATTGATTATTGCTGTATTTGTAGGTTTTGGAAGTTACTACGTTTCTACAGCGATACGTCTGCACAACAACGCGTTGCGTTTCTGTTCGCGTGGTGGGTTGCTGTATCCGGTGAGGTAGGTGCGTACTGCAAGGACGCCACAGCCCAAACAAAACAAAGGGCGGACAAGTGCTGCGAGTAATAAGCAACAAAGAACGACCAACGCACACCGCCTGCTGACTACTGACCGCTGCTGTGCCAACCAAGCGCGCTGGCTCTTCCCTCCACGCACTTGGCACACCACGTGCACAAATCACGTCGCGTCATACGATGCCAGCAGTCTTTCGCCCACAAGGCAATGCTGGCAGCAGCAGAAGCATCACTAGCGACGTTCCCCTGTTCATGACACATCACAGGCGACCGAACTACAGAGGAAGGTGTATTATGTTCTAGCGTAGCGGTTCGCGCTGCGTCGCCGCTGCTGCATCAGCCTCCGGTGGTGCAGGGGTTGACATATTCTTTCCGCTGGGTAAACGATTGTACTCCTGGAGAACGCCTGTACTTGTGGCTGCTCTAGAAAGTGGCTGCTGGCGTTCTCGGGAATATGTACGACGGCTGCGAGATGCTCCAAGAGAATACAAGCTTCAACAACGCGACGCACTTGCTTCTTCGTACCTGAGCTGGCAGAGATGTGCCCTGACGAGATCGTGACATGCGACCACGACATGTCCAACGCGACTTTCTCCCGCCGCCAGCGGTAGCAGCAGCAGCAAGAGATCTCCGACCACTCCAAAGAGATCCAGCGGGAGACCAAGCAAAGGTTGCTGTGGTTGACAGCAGTGCAGACAACGCCACCCCAGTGTATCTCCCCATCGTGCACTGCTGCACCAGGCACTGCTGCTGCTCTTTAGTGTGCGGGCAATCTTCGTCGAGGGAAACGACCTCATCGGCGTGGCCCCCACAGGTACCCTTAGGGATCTTGTGTTGAATCTACGGAGCCGCGGCGGTGTGCGGGCTGGACCGATGTTGCTCATTCTCGCTGACTGCTCAAGCTCTGTGAGGGTGAGTACCAGCTCGCGACCCTCCTCACGAGGGCGGACGTGGCGCGGCCGGTGTTGCCGCCAGCAGAGGCAGTGATTTCAAGATGTATCTAGTGTTTATTGCTGTTCCAGACTCTCGATTTTTGTTGTGCCACCCCTCTGCCTGACACACACCACAAGAATATCTCTTGCTCGATTGCAGTTGGCGCCAGCTTCTGCGGCATCTAGGCTGCATGCATATGCGATCTACTCTAACATCTAGTTGGAGTGGATGTGCCTTCGTTTCTTCTTGGCTGTGTTTTGTTTATCTGGGGCATGGTGTCGGTGTTGGCGTTCGTGTTCGGAGGATGCAGTTTACCCCAGAAGTCCAGGCACAGCCACCGAAACTCGACCACCGGACATCCACAAGAAGCAGGTTTCGCGTCGTCTCCCCAACTCGCAGTGCATAAGCCCTCCCCCAGCCACTCTTGGTTTGAATGATAGAAGTGTACCAGCTCGAAGAGGTTTACCTTGGTGCGATGGTAACAACGCTCTCCGTTTTTCGCTTTCTCTCTATGCTAGAGGAAACGAAGAGAGCCCTCGCTAGATCTACCAAAATGCCAAAAACACGATTATGCTGTTTATCACCCCACCCCCCGCCCCCAACGAGCTAGGTTTGAATTTGCCACACCACGGCAGCACATGGAGGAGGCCTGTTGCTTTCGTAGCCTCACGGTGTCTTGGAAAATCGTGCGGCATGGTAGGGAGGTCGGGCATGGCCCGAACCTGAGATAAATTGCACCACCTCGCTTGAATTGAACTATGAAGACCTGTCTCAGATTTGTTTACCCCATGAACCGTAGTACAAACTGCTGTAGTATGTGTGATGTGTCGACCGTATTCGGGCTTTCAAAGCTTACAAATGTCCTTAGTAGCATAGCCCACCCTTGATGTCCACGAAAAGTGGTTTGTTTTGTCCAAAATTCCACTTGCCTCAAGTTCTGTCAATGCACTAGCATAGTGCTGCCCGTCCGCACTTGAGAATTCGGAAAAAACATGACACACAGAAGGACTACCCGTTCGAGATAAACCCACAGTCGAACCGGATGTGGTGGAGTCTCTTCAGTGAGTGGAGGAAAACCCGCTGGGTACTGGACTTTCGAGTGTTTTAAGTCTATATACTTGCAGATGAATCACACACAACTAGGCCCGAGGCCTCCCTCCGCTCGCGTGTGCTGTCGAATAATAAAACACACACACAACACGATGATGGCTTCTAGAGTCAGGTCTTCCCTGTTTTCGTCCCAGGGCTCAACGCGCCCTCGACCCTCTCATCCCACCGCTTGCTTGTCGCGTGTATCCCACCCCCAGGCTTTTTGAGCATCCGGGAAGCAAAACATGCAGATCTTCGTCAAGACCCTCGGCGGGGCCAGCCTCCCCCTGGAGGTGTCGCCCGCCACCTCCATCACGGCCGTCAAGGCCGCGGTGGAGGCGCAGGAGTTCCTCCCCGCCGCCCTCATGCGCCTCAACCACGGCAACGCCCAGCTCAGCTCGGGCTGCCTGGCTGACGCCGGCATCGAGGAGGCCGACACCCTGACCCTCCTGCTGGACGTCAGGGGCGGCATGCGCGCCAAGTGGCGCAAGAAGCGCATGCGCCGCCTCAGGCGCAAGCGCCGCAAGATGCGCCAGCGCGCGCGTTAAGCGCCACACGCGTAGGAGCACATGCAGTCGTGGAGGGGAGATAGACTGATGCTGTCGTCGTTCTTAGGAAATGGAGGAGGCGTTCGCTTCGTGTTCCCTTTGCCACTGTGTCTGTTGTGTGCGTGCGTGCGCGGGGGAGCCTGGGCTTGTCGACATATTTCAACTTGCGGTTTGGTCGGCATGGCGCAGTGGGACGACTTGTTGAGCCGTGTTACTTTCGTTTTGTCAGCTGTCGCCCTTTCAGTACGCAGTGGGTTGGATGAAATGATCAATCACGGTGCCGATAGTGGCTGATTGTGTTGTGTCCGAAAATGCCAATGTTGATGTGTCTGCTCGCGGGCATCTCTTGGTTGCGTTTTCCGGCTGTGTCGGGAGGCGTGTCCTTGTCTGGGGTGTAAGGCGAGGCGATCTGCGGACGTTGCACACCGAGTTCGCAACGGTGTTTTTTTGCTTGCGTTGGTGTCGTCGCAAGACTTTGCTGTCGTCTAGAAGAAAATATCGTCGAACTATCTACTTTCCGTTTCTTGTTTTCGCCCAATCGTATCGCGTCCTCGCACGACGGTGCGTGTGTGTAGGAAAATGTCCCTCACGGTGCTTTCTGCGGGCGCCTTTGCCCCGCTTGCTGCCATGCATTCGCCAGATGAACCTAGGCTTGTGTATAAGGATACCGTGTGCTCCCACAGCTGAAATGCATGCTGTCCACCTCACAACAAGTTGCGAAACATCGTGTTGCGTGATGTTCAGGGTTATCATCCTCCCAACGAGTCTGTACTGCAAAATCGCATACAGCAATAGCGCTCGTGTAGCGAAGAGCGACACTATCAAAGGTTGTCAGCTGCGCACAAATGCTATTGCACGAACACCGGTAATCGCATCCCGACCACCTCCTTGGGGTCACTGTATTGTTTTTTCGCGGCTTCAATTCCGCGGTCACACACACATACACAGCATTTCTACCGGGTAGGAGCATCCGTGGTCACTCCCCTATCCACCTCGCCTGCGGTGCTACTTGTTGTGTGTTCACTTCAAGTCAGCGCCCGCAGTACGTGCGCCGTTTACCTTAAACCCGTGGTCATACAGAAGCTTTCTCTCACTGGGGCCCCTACCCATCCCTCGTGCGGTAGTTTGCCTTCGATTTGTAATGCGAGAAAAGTGCTGTCTACCCAGGCCAGGAACGGACGCGAGATAAAACTCACAGCAGTGCCAACTCGCTTACGCTGGATTCGAACCCCTGACCCTGGCCACTAGAATATTTTTTCGAGGATACCAACCAGACTACCGGGGCGACGGGTTGTTGATTCTATTTTTAACGAAGAGTGAAAAACAGAGAGCGGTTGCTGGACGTCCCACCCCTTTCCGGGAAGATTGATGCGTTGAGTTCTCTTTCGACGACCTTCACAAACACCCGTGCCTACACCCCTACATGCACAGTTTTGCCGAAGCCGTCCGGTCTGTCTCTACACGATCAGGAGGCCTTCGATCGAAACCATGTGTCTCGAGGCATACCAACAGCACGAACAACATTTTTGTCGCCTTGCTCTCCTCCTGTGTGAATCCACATCAATCATCGTTCGCTTTGATCTAGCCAGTACTTGTTGTGCCGCGTGGAATGACGACCACTGCACCGCTGCCGGAAGAGTAGGCTGCTACGACCTTCCTGAGGACGCTGGCCTTGTCGAACCGCCGTTTTTCGGTGGTGTTTGTCTTGGATATTGACGTCCACAGCCCCCCGTCAGAAGGATCGGCCGCCACACACCTGTCGCGGTTTCGGCGTCGAAAGTCAGGTCACGCATCACTACCCTCACATGATATATCATCACCATACTGCTGTGTAGTGTACGGACCTGCCGAGAATGTCCGTTCCCTCAACGTCGGTCCCCTGCTACAACTCGAAGGCGTAGAATACCGCCCACGCGTCGCCCATGTAGGCGTCCAGGGTGATGGCGCGGTTGAACTACCTCGGGTCTTGGACATATATGCGGGCCGTCCACAAGTGCCTGGCCACGGCACTTATGACGTTCGGGTCGTTGTCGCGCCACTTGAGCGCCTGAAGGGATTTTCCTGCTTGGTGTTGGTGTTTATCGTTTAGTTCGTGTGCGAAGGGGGCAGATGGAGCAAAAGCAGTCCTTGATGTTCATTGCCAACTTCGGGAGACAGTCCGGTAGGATGCCTGGGTTGTTGGTATTTATGTAGTATTCACAGCACTTCCGGGTGCGCTTAGTGCTTTCTTGAGGCGTGTCTGTCATATGCGCCCGTCAAGATGATTTCACAACGAAAGCAAATGAAGAAGCATCAGGTGATGGGCCGAGACGGCTCCTGATTTCATGGCGATGCGCATGCAGATACGGACGGCAACAACGGTAGCAACAACACAACCATATCCATATCTGCTTGCTCAGGCTCGGCCTGCTGTACTTGTACCGCCCACATTTCTTCCCGCCATTACTTCCCCCGACAACACTTATTGAAAAAGTAGCTCCACATCGCAGTGCCGACCACACAACACGCGTACATACGCTATACCACTGTTACTCTTGCTCAAAAATGGCATCGCGGTCTGTCTGCCTCACTTCTGCTCGGACCGTTGTGCCGCCAGGGTCTCCTCCGCCCAAAGCACGCCGGACCCGGGACACTCCAGCAGTGCCTAGGCCATGAGGCTATCCACACCCATACTGTTCCCCGCTCGCCTCTCAAGGCCCACCGGCTCCAACCATAGACTCTCACTCTGCGGATTGCCCAACTATGATTCAAGAAATTGTTGGGGTGTGGTGGTGGCTACTGCTGCGGTGAAACGTGGATACTCCCAACGTAGACAAAGTGAGCCTTGCGAATGCATGTCGTAGGTGACACAAGATACCACACCCCCTGGATCAGTGTTCAAATCTCGTCTTGTCCACGACGAAGAGCATTCGGAAAGCTCTTGATGAGACGGCTCCAACGCCTCCATCTGTGGCACCGCCACTACTTTAGCTGTGGAGAAAACCGAGCTCTGCAAATCGATCCAGGTGGTGTGACGTCTAGTGTCACATACGGTATATCTCGATGGCGGTCTTCACTGTTGTTTATCGTCGCTTGCTCGAGAGAAAGAGTGTGCTTGTATTCTCACTCCTACTATCAGGGCCGCGACGCGTGTGTAGCACTTTCGAAAAAAAACGGGTGCAGCGAAAGCATTTCCCGTTACTCGGAAGACAGCAGTTTTGACCATGGCTCAACTCAGGCCACCTTGCAGCCTCGAACAACAACTACACACAACGCATCCCCCTTACTTTGGCACCTCGAGCATGCCTCTCACGGAAGGCGCACGAACAGCGGGTCACGTCGTTTCAAAGGAAAAAACGTCAATAAAATCACACCTCTTTTATGTCCAACAACAACGTCATGAATCAGCCGCACCTGATAGATCCTGCCCACTTGTTCGCCCCTCGGTGTTTTGCCATCGGGATTGGGTTTTCGTCGCTTGGCAACGACGTTGTAAAACAAGCCAAGTCACTTCGTGAACTCGGCAACCAGGTTACCGTTATTTTTTATACCTCTGTTTTTTTTTACGGTAACCATAATGGTGGTCGAGTAGATCATGTTGTGCGGGATCGAGAACCCTCGCTCCGCGCAAGGGGGATGATCGCACCACGTTGTGTTAAAATGGCCAAGCGCCCTCGAGGCAGTTACACAGCTGTAGTGCTTACAACTGTCTCTGGAAGTGAAAGCACCAAAAAAAAAATTAAGTCATACGCAGCTGTCATCCGTACGCAAGGAAGTAGGCACAAGATGCCGAACACCCTTAGCAGGATGCAGCGCACCCTTCATGCGACTCGCCGAATGTCTCACGGCGCTTCGCGCTTGGTGATGTGAGAGCCTGGTCCGGTGAGAACCCGGCGTGCTCCGTCCCGGCTTTGTAGGGATGCGAGGTCAATGGTCTAACGACTACGGCATGCACGACTATGAGTACACCCCCCCACCTCTTCGTCACCACGTGGTGTCCCCGAACAGCCCCTCTGAATACGTGGCAGTTACTCTCCGACAAGTCTACCGCCCCCGCCGCTGTCCCTCCCCCCCGGCCGCCCCGCCCCGCCCTCGCTGTTACACTTGGTGAGGTCGCCCATCACATGCCCACGGCCGGCGACGTATCCACTGGCACGGGACCGAAGTCTGGGTCTTTAGAAACGCCGCACGACGCACCGGTCGCGCCACGCGGGCCGGTGGCCCCGAGCTCGGCGATAGTGGTGCGGGCGGGACCGATGTCGGACCGGTTGGTGAAACCCACGGCACCGCGGCCGAGACCAGCGACGTGGTTCGAAGGGGCACCTGTTTCGTTGGGGGGCGGGCGGGACGGCGGTTGCTGTGTCGCTCTTTGACTCGCTGGGTTTGTGGGATATGTGCCAATGGCAGCCAACTTCTTTCGCTGCGCGGCGTTTATTGTAAATACACCGTAAAGCACGGCTGCTGCTGGTGTTGCTATTTCTCAGGGGAAGGCAAGTACACTGGTTGGACAGAGGCAGGATCGTTCCCCTCCTCGTCCGGCTCTATCGCTATATCTACTGCTGGAGGGCTTTAGAACACGTGCTGCTTGCCCATCAATTCAACAGCAGCTTGTTGTGGCCTTCGATGTTTTGGAGCTAGAGCCCACAACACCGGGTATCCGTGGAGGCCGTCCATCACGACGGATGCAAATGTATTATTTTTTTGACATCCTGGCTTCATTAATCCCCTTCCTGCGCTATCGATACTAATGTGTCATTGGGAATGCCCCTACGTACTGCAGCAGTATTGGTCACAGCAGTCCACAGACAACATGGGAGGCCCTCCCTGTGCCCATGTAAAAGGGTCATCAAAAGGCAATACAAACAATGGTAAGGTTGACCTGCATTTACATTTTTTCTTAGCACGTAGGAGGGAAGCACGGTGAGCATCCTTCGTTTGCAGCACATGCAGATCCACGTCTTTCGACGGGTAGCACAATACACTCTTACCTTCCCCCCTCGAAGAGACAAGGAGGGTGTGCTACACCAAAGATGTGTGTACAGCAAACTGATCTCCGCTTTATTCCTGCCCGAACTGTGTGAATTACCGTCTCACCGGCATTGTAGCTTGTGCACGAGTGTTCTTTCTCACCTCTCGCATCGCCATGTTCGCTTCGTGCTCCAGGCCGGGTGTGTGTATATCGGAGTCGCTGCAGGTGGTCGGTGTATACCTCCCTCGCCCCCAGCCCCCTCGTCTGCTCATGCACGCTCCACTCCCCTGTGGGGGGCACGCGACTGCACTTTTTGTGGGGGGTTACGTGTGCTTTATTGCGCCGCATAGGCGCTGCATAGGCGCTGCCAACACCACCCTTGCTGCACCTCCACATCTCGCGATCAGGCTGCTCTCGCCCTTGTCTCTCTCCTCTGCCACTGCTGCTACTGCCCACGGAAGAAATGGGGCGCAAGCGTAAACGGGCAAGAGCATCCCCTCCAGCTGAAGAAGAAGGGAATGGACCACCGACACCAACATCAGCACGAAGTTGCACCACACCCTCAGCAGCCCAAGAAGCGGCGGCAGCGGCAGGTGCGGCGGCGGCGGGGGGAGCCAACCCAACCATCAGCGATCCCCCCACCACCACCTCGCCAACATCGGAGCAAGACGCGCTTGTTCTCAATCCTGCGGCCGGCAAAGGCGACGACGTCACCGATGAAATAACGGAAGAAGAGGACGAGGATAGTCCAGGGATGCCTGGGATACCGTGGGCCTTGCCACAGCAGCAGCAGTCCAGTCACTACGACGAGCAGCAAGATGAGGTTGAGGAGGGAGAGGAGGGAGAAGAAGAGGAGGACCAAGAGGAAAGCAGAAGAAGCAGCAGCAGCAGTGATGACGCGTACGGAATCGGGTCGAGTCCGTCACCGGCGACGACATCAGACCCCAACAACCGGTGGAAACAGCATCCCGATCGACGACGAAAGTTGGCTAGCGGCGGCGGGCAGCGAGGCGGGACGTCAGGACGGCGTCCAGACAGAAACACAACAGCGGGGGGCAGGGGGCAAACCGGAGGGTGGGGTCAGGCGTGTGCGGGCAATGGAGAAGCGCAAACCGACTGGGACGAAGACGATCGTGCTGCTGTGTATGCGGACGGATACTACGGGCCGCGTGCAAGCCCGCCCCCGCCTTGCACCTTGTTCGAGCCCCGCAAGGGCAAGGTACACCGCGTAGCCGGCGGTGTGTCTGCAGCTGCCGACGACACACCCGGCGCGTTAGTGGTGGGCCTGGACTCCCTCGAGAAGCTATGCTTCGTCGGCGCAGCGCTTGTGCGGTGCGGCCGCGGCCAGGCCGACCTGTCGGGCTTCACCCTGCTCCCAGAGGCGTGGGGGCCGTACGTCGAGGCGCACTCGCCACCCTGGATGGGCTTGCTGGTGCTGCGTGCATTGGACGCGGAAGATCGCCCGGACGCAGCAGTAGCCCGTGGCAGCACTGCTACAGATGACGCGGGTGCTGCTAACGACGACCAGATGGAGAACGAGATCGAGGAGGCGATCGATAGGATCGCCGAACATTTCCCCGTAGTGGTGGTGTTCAAGTCGCTGTCCGGTCGCAGGCCGTTGAAGTTTTTGTCGGCGCAGGCCGACGCCGACGCTCTTTATGCGCCGAGTATTGGCGCCGACGACAGCTCTGACCCTGTAGCCGAAAGTCAACCACCTCAAAATAACCGTCGCTGGGGTTTGCGAACGGCGGAGGGTTGCGAGTTGGGGGGGGGGCATCAAGATGACACGGAAACGGTGACCACCTGCAGCCCACCTCTCGTGGCGTCAGGGTGCACCGGCGACGTCCTCGATGGTAACTTCGCGGCCGAGCTCCGTCTCCCGGGAATGCAGGTGGTAACGACCGAAGCAGCCGGGCTGCGCCCGCTCACCATACCTCAAGACTGGGCGAACGCCATCGACGCCGTGCTTGCGTCGCCACCCCGTCCAGCCGGCGGCTTTCGCATCGACTCGGTGCTTGTCTGCGGGGCCAAGGGCGTAGGGAAGAGCACCCTATGTCGCTTCCTCGCGAACAGAATGCTCGGCCGGCACCGGGAAGTTGCCTACATGGACTGCGACCTAGGACAGCCTGAATTCACGCCTCCGGGACAAGTATCCCTCCACCTGCTCAACACCCCAGTGGTGGGCCCGCCGCACGCCAACCTCAGGCATCCGCACCTGGCGTACTTCATTGGCACGACCACCTCCAAACCGGAGCCGCTACTCTACTCGGCGGCGGTTCGCGCCCTTGCCGAGCGCGCCAGCGAAGGGGTTGTGGGCGGAGCTGAGCAGCAGCAGCAGCAGGAGGCGGAACGGTCTGCGTCCTTTTTCGCGGGCGGTGCCCCCCCGCCCACCCCCCTCGTTGTCAACACGGACGGTTGGGTGAAGGGCATGGGGGAAGACCTCCTCGGCGCGGTGATCGACGCGGTTCGCCCCCGACACATCGTCCAGATCCTGGGCACGTCTACCGCGAAGTCGTTCGAGCTCGACCTCGCCCGCTTGCCCGAGGGGTGCGAGGTCCACCGCGTCGGGGCCTGGTCGCCGCCCCCGGTCCCCTCGGGAGGAACGCCGAACCCGTCTCGTCCCTCGCCTCAAGACCAGCGAACCCTCCGCCTGGTCGCGTACTTTCTCGGGCAGGGGCAGGGGGCCCGCAGTTGCGGCGATGCTTTCCCAGGCGGGGTGTCACCGGGTTATCTTTTGGGCGAGGCAGAGGCAGCCCCCACGGCAGCAGCCGTTGCGGGAAGGCAACAAGGAGCGGGTTCTGCGGTTTCCGGAGCCGAGGATAGTTCTGTCGCTGGTGGGCTCGCAGAAGGCTTAGTTGACGGGGAAAAGGTTACGGGCAGCGACAGCGGGCGGTTGAGACACGCGAGCATGCGGGGAGGGAAGATGTACGACCTGGACCACGAGGTGGCGGTTCTGCTGGCGTCCGCGAGGCCTCGACGGGTGCCGTTTCGGGCGGTCCAGATCAGGATCATGAACGGCTCAGTTTCGCCGAGCCTCGTTCTGTACGCTATCAACGGCGCGCTTGTCGGACTTGTGGCAATGGCTAGGCAGCCTTGGGAAGGAGGGAGAAGCGGCAGTGTTGGTGGCGGTGCCGAGCGGCCGCCGGGAGAGGGCTTGGTATGCTTAGCCGAGACACCTTTGGCACCGTGCGTAGGTCTTGGAATCGTGCGGTCTGTCGACGTCGAGAAGCGAGTGCTGTACGTGTTAACGCCCGAGCCACCGGAGGTGTTGAGAGATGTAAACGTGTTGGTGATGGGGCCGTTGCAGCTGCCGATGGTGATGCTCTATGACCCGAACTGGTGCTCACACCCGTACTTCTCCTCGGAGGTAGTTGGTGGGGGGGTCATCAAGAAGCGGAACAATTTGTTGCGAAGAGGGGGACAGCACGCGTAGACGGTCGTGAATCTTGTGTTCTTGTCCGCGTCTTGTTGTAGCTCAGCGTGATGAACAGTGGAATTAATATATCACAGGAAAAGGCGACCTGAGAGTTGTGTCTTTTTATTTCCTTGTTGGTGTACCGCGCCGGCCACAACAAGATCGGTCATGGTTGATAATTCGGCTCATGCTCAAACATGCCGCCTACCTTTTGAGGGCGGAGAGATGACACCCCGCCCAAAGCTCGATTGCACCACCACCAAGCTTGTGACAACAAATCAAAATGTGGTTTTGGAAACATCGTCGATGGCTTCCCTTCCGACGTATGGGGGTTTTCTGCATCCTCCCGGTTGTAGGGCAATCGGGCTTTGAAATTCGGTCTACGGGTGGCGCCACCTCTCCGCCTCTTGCTGTACATTGCCCACGTTCTTGCTTTTCGCTGCGCATGCTGCCGAGTTATCAACGCACCCGCTGCCCTTCGTGATGCGCTCACACAGCGATACAACACGTACCTTGTGTGTTGAAATTTTGTAGACAAGACAGTCACCTCGCCTACTTCCCTCGGGAACATGTACACATATCGACGTCGTCGACACGCTCACGTAGCCAACAAGCACCCGAAAGTTAAGCCGTTTTTCTGGTCGTGGGTACAAATGTAAGACCGCTGCATGTGCCACTGGTGAACTACAGGACACTGGCACCCCACAAGTCAAACTATTTTGAACGTATGCGTGCCATGACGCGGAATACAACTTCTTGCACGTTCACCCTCAACACGCGCGCTATTTCTACGACTTCTGATAAATACTTCCCAGACCGCGAAGAACCATTGAGGATGTACACATTGGAAGAAACGCCCATCACTTGAACACAGGCTACGAACCCAGATCACCCATTCCGCCACGAGCGCTGCAAGGAGGGCATCACTCCACGCGTTGTGCTGCATAACTCAAACTCAACAACTACGAGCGCCGCCCGTACGCAGAGTCCCTTCAAGCCACTCTATCCCCGCTGCCTATTCTGAATCCACGACACTTTTGGGGCCCACGAAGAAGACTTCCCTACAGAACCACGTCTTCTAGCATCCAAGCCCTCGTTGCATATGTAGAAAAGCTCTCGCGGAGCGATTTTTCAGGACATGAGCAAAGACAATCACATGCACCGATTATCCTTCCCTTTCCATCTCTGCTTTCGACCGACAATATTAGCACAAACCTCTGAAAAAACATGAACAAAGCACTGAGGTCTCGGCGTAACGCTCCTCTTCCTCATATGGAACCAAGACCATATTATATGCATACGAAGGTCATGCGTATCATACTCCTAACGAGGAAACAAACACAAGTGACAAATGATGCAATACCCCGAGGAGAATACCACGACACGACAACGACAGCTTCGCGGTGGGAAAGAAAACCAACAGCAGAGAGAAACCTTTTCCCGTGAGTACTTTTTCGGTTCCCATGGAGTCGCCACTTTTCCGCCCAAGACGCTCATGAGGTGGCTTTCGTGGTGCGAGACACTCACTCCCACTTTGGATCACACCTAACTTAACAGACAGGTTTTCCTTTTCTCAGCAACAACAACGACCACACAATCATGCGCAACCTTCCTTGTCTTCGACTCACGAACCGAAATTGGTCTTCGCGGCCGTGCGTGCCGTACCCCCCCCCGACAGTCGACTTTTGCGAGCACAAGAAAAAAATCGAACAACGCTCACAGACAAAAGGCCACCCAGAAAATCGGGAAACGAATTAGGAGAACCAACGACAAATCAGTGCGCCAACCGGTAGACATCGACACCGCGAGATCGGAAAGTGCCTTCGGACACCGCAACGTACGCGAAAAACAGAAAGCCCAAGAACCCGATGGCCCGGAGCAACCACCAGAGCTTCGCCAGCAAACGCTTGAAGCGACCGCGGCGCGCTAACCCCTTGTAGCGCTGTAGCTCCATGTTGGTCTTACTCGCCTGGCAACCGGCGGTGGAGTTCGACATTGAGGGGGGGAGGGGGGGGGGGGGGGGGTATTGTGGTTCGGGCACTGAAGTGACTGCGCTAATACGGTAGTAGCCACTCACATGGCTCTAGGTACGGACCATGTCTTGGTGTGCATGCACATACGTGCCAAAATCCCGCGAAAAAGGATCCTTTTGGGCTTCCGGTTCTTTCGCTCACAACTACATGGGCCCACCAACACCATTATGGACACTGCTGTCTCGACATGGAGGAAATGGCATGATTGCGCCTCTGCGAATCACGGGCGCACAGCTATCATAGTGGTTTTGATTGACCTTCGATTTGAAAACCACCGCTGTAGCGGTAGGTTGTGATCGCGAGTGGTTGCACTGGCTCCAAAATCGGTGAAAACATTTTACGTCATCTACTACTGCTCGCGTATTGCCCAGTCCAACGTAGGGAGGATGTGAAGAACCCGGCCCCCGGGGCGGGGCAGCACTATACCGTATATGACACAAGATAACACACCCCCTTGACCGCTTTTCGAAGCTCGATTTCTCAACTACAGGAACAGTCACAGTGCCGAAAACGGCGGCGTTGAAACCGTCTCGCCGAGAGCTTATCGAAAATGTATCACTTCGTTTATGCATACTCTTCGTCGTGGCGTGATCGAGCTTTGAAAATCGGTCCAGGGGGTGTGTTATCTTGTGTCATATACGGCAATAGCATCTGGCCCATGGATATTGAAACGTGTTTGAAGCCGCATGGCGCGCATGTAACGCAACCGCACCGTACACGCGTTACACCGTTACACCGCATCAGTGGTTCAAGAAAACCGCAACGTAGACGCTGCAACCGGCACTGCACATGCAAGAATAACCTCTCTGTAGATGCACCACGTAAACGCCTTCACATCCCATACTAAAGAAAGCGAGTGAACCGCACCGTACCACACTAGCGGGATCTGGAACTCCGGCGCAAGACACGCGTGTACCCCTGTACTCACAACGACTCAAGGACGCAGTGCCACAGGCACATCACCAAAGACCGCCATCGTCGTCAACGGCAACAAAAAACATGGACAACCTCGGCAATCGAGCCCTGCGTGGCCTTACCCGCTCTTGGACCGCTTCCAACTGCTTAGCCTTCATCTCCGCGGCCTGCCTAAACTTCTCGAGCTCCTTCTCTAGCCCGTCCCCTCCCTGCGCAGCCAATGCCGCCTCCGCCGCCTCTACCCTTTCCTCCGCCGCCGCTGCCGCTTCCTCCGCAGCCGACGCCGCTGCCGCTGCTTCCGCTGCTGCCACCCTTGCTTCCTGGAGCCGCTGCTCCTGCTCACCGGACAGGTGGATAATCTCCTCAAGTCGTCCCGACAGTACCATGTTCTCCTCGTGTTTTTCAGCAGAGACTTTCTCCAGCTCGGCCAATCTCTGAGACTGCCGCTCGATGTTTTCGATCGCTGCCTGGTGGCTTCGTTTCTCAATGGCGAGGTCGTCAGCGAGATGAACGATCTGTTGATCAACCGCCCACAAAATAACAAACGTTCGAGCCGTTAACAAGCAGCGAATGAGGTCGATTCACGAGGCATACAGTCTTTTGTATTGCGTTGGCGTGATTCTCTGGTGGCACCATTGAAATAAAAGCTACTCCGGTGTGGCCTTGATCGTTCGTGACCCCGGCTGATGCGTCCAAAAAATGTACCGAAAGGTGTCCAAAAATAACATCCCACTTGTGTGGGACGCCAGAAAAAAAAAAGAGTAAAATAAACGTGAGAGTTTTCCTCTACCACTCCTCGGACATATAGCTGCGGCAACAACGATCGAATCGCCACAGATGCTCATATATTCCACGTGTTCACTATATGCCGCCATATTTTCTGAAGAACGGATACCATCTGCGATATGCATAGTAAAACTCACCTTCATGTCCGTTTCGGCGGAATCGCTGCTGATATTTTCCACGGTCACGTCGACGTCTCTCACGACCGCCTCACACCGCCTCAGGTCGGCTTTCAGGTTCTGGTCCGAAAGAAAGCAGAGAGGTCGTGTCCCGAAAGACAGCAGTGAGGTCGACAAGCAAGAACAACAACAAACGCGGGGCGTCTTTTAACACCGGCCATCCGCTCCAAGAGCAAGCGCAAAAACCAAAAGCGACATATTTTTAACACTTGATTGAGCAATGATCAAGGGGGAACGAGGCGCTACCTAAAATAAGCGCTACTTGCTATTTTGGGATTCGCAGCCAAGCGAAGCTACCACCAAAAAAACGGTACTGCTGCTGTATCCCTAGTACGTCGTGTTTTCGAATCTTGCTGGCGGCTCGAATTCGAAGCTTTTGTCCTCGGAGACTCTAGGGTGTTTTGGCCGCGACGAGCGGCAGCAATGATATCAGCTTTTGCGGTAGCCCTTTCTATCCCTCCCGGTCCCTCAAATGGGTGTTCTGCACGGTTAGGATTGGCCAACTATTCTTGTGGAGCTCCACACGACCGACGACCCACCGCGATCGCAGACAACACTCGGGACATGCCCCAGAAACGAAACTAACGTTGCGGCTCTCTGCGTACACGTAGCGATTCCTGTTACATTTTCGCGACGAGCAATGTTGGAGTGATAGTCGGAAATGTTGTGGATGCAACGATGGTGCGGACGGATAACAAGCACCACACACCAGGCGTGCGTTCAAAGCTTCACGAACAAGCCATCTTTGCAACAAAGCGCGCCTTCACTGCCAAACCCCTTTGCTGCTTACGCTCACCTTAATCTCCATGTTCTTTGTGCGGAGCACCTTGGAAAGCCACTCGATCGTCTCGTCCCTGCTGCAATCCCTGCCGGCAAATTCATCACCATCCGCCCTCTCTCCGTTTCCACTTGCGTCACCCCTGCCCCTGCCAACGGGCGACGAGGCGTTGCTGCCTGCTCGTGTCGGTGACGTCGAGCGATACTGCTGTGGCCGCGGAAGCTTGGAAGGGTGCTGCGCGCTCGGCCCTGAGGGGCTCAGAAAGCGTTTCGTCTGCAAAGAAAAAGGGTAGGGGCGGTGTGCGTGTACGGTGAAGGGGTTCGTTGAGGGTGAATCTGCCTGCGAACGTGCGTGGCGATGATTCCCTACCACGCGAGGGGTGTTGTACCCTACTGTTTCAAGTCAGGGTGTTCGTACCCGATTGTGTCAAGTGAAAGATGTTGATAGGGCAACGATAGAAAGGGCTGTTTCGCCCCAAGCAAGGACTCTCCGTAAGCGCAGATCCGTTGATTACATCGCTAAACATGTGGGTACTTACAACGGTCGTATCGTGGCATCGAGAGAGGGTATCGGCTGAATCACATGCTGCGCTCTGGATAGGGCGATAGCATCGTGTCGGGAGACAGACACTTGGCCCGTGAAGAGGGAAGCGTAAGGGTTTGTTTCAAATGAATGCATCCACAGCAGTGAGCTGCGAGACGTTTCAGGTCGCTGTGTCTGCTGCGACAAACAACACGACCACAATGTAGCACAGCAGACAATTGGAATGGTGCGAGAGCTGATATATTCAACTGCAACGTACTACAAAGCTTGATGCCTTGTGCCTGACAAGACCGCGCCATACCCCCAGGTGGCATCAAACAGCAGTGTCAAAAAACAGCCGTTTCGCTGACGTCAGGTCAGGGCCAGCCACTGCAAGGAGGCAATCGTTCGCGTCGACTCTAGGGGAGACAGTAGTTCCACGAGAATGTTGGGTTTTACAGATGGGGGGGGGCGGGGGGGTTGGCACATGTACCTGCAGGAGAGATTGAGTTGTGGAGTAATCGTATGGAAGGCAGGGTCGGAATGTTGATGCCGCCCTTGTCGGGACAGCAACGGAGCCATGCAGCACTGTGAATAGATTCCTCACGAGGAAGACACAACTTCCCAATTGTTTAATTGCTCTTATCTTCAGGCAGAGGGTTAGCATTAGGTGGTCTTTCATCTCGTGAACGAGAGGAACAATCGATTTCCCCTCACCCGACAGCAGTACCTAGCAGATATCCCTTGTCCCTGGACGGACCTTGCTTGTACCGTGTATTGGCGCACAAGGTTGGTAGAGAGGCGGATGAATACCGTTGGCTCACATGTCCATCACCGAGTTGAAGCAGACCTATCACTACTGCCTGTGGATGGCAAACTTGCCCTAGCCTGGAGGCGGGGTAGGGAGTGCGGCCCAACTCTCATGTAAACAGCATTAGACTGCTGTGTGTACCACCACACCACCCCCATGTTACCGATACAAAGTCTGTGAGAGAGGCTGCTGCAGAACACCGCCGTATCATACGATGTGAGCGATATAACTCCGAAGACCACAGGAACAAAAAAACTTTGCCGCCGTGCTCCCCTGAAATCGTTTCGTATCTTTCATCTCGTTCAAAAGCGCACAAGTTTCAATCGGCCTGGGATAGAACCTATAATATCCAGTCGCATACCCAAATCCAACCACATGGAAGGTGTTGTTAGCGGCTTACGGTTCTGTTGTGCGAAGTCATCGCGGTCGTGGATGCACGATATGCCGCTAGCTTGGAGCCAGCGGTCGCTGCCGCCGGCTGCTTCATACCGTGCCGCTCGAGGTTTGAGGCGGGATACGCTTGCGCCTTGCTGATGGCCATTTTCCTGGCCTTGATCTCGTCCTCTATCTCGTCGTAGTGGTTAGCCGCTGCCGCCACCTCCATGTTGGCGCGCTCGCGCGGGCTCTCACAAGGCCGTTGGGTATCGGACAAAAGTTGCGGTGCCGCTGTAGCCGAGTTGGGATTTCGCCTCGCGACGTGACGCTACACGTGATTGACCGAACCCGATAGAATGGCAGATGATTCTCCAGGCGGGTGCTCGGGTTTCGCTCTCTGTTTCTTCCTGTGGTCGACGATAGACGAGGGTCTCCGGTGTGTGGATGCGTTGCCGCCGACAAGAGCGTGTTCTGGCGACGTGGCTCGGGGGCTCTCCTGACAGTATTCGTAGGATACCCAACCATCATACCTTGGCTACGCGTCTCCCCTTGTGCCTCCATGACGAAGCTGTCGCGTGAGTCCTACGGTCTGCACTATTGTTTCTCGTGGCAGAGGATGTTCTCTGTATTCGGGGAGACGCTCACCCTCATCTTGGCGTCCCTCCCGGCCATCTTGAAGATCGATCTAGCTTCGAGCAACGCCAGCCTTGCGCCGGCTCTGGCCCTGTGCGTGGTCTTTTCGGCAGCACTGGGTGTGCTGACGACTTGTTCTTCACCGGAAAGCGGCGGTCGGCGTGTTGATCTTCGCCGACGAGATCGCCTCGTCTCACACAACCAAGGCAGCGATGAAGCCTCCCCTCCTACCCCACAGCAGCTTCTGCTGGACGTCTCTCCGGCAAAGGAGGAGGTCTCTGCAGCGAAAGATTCTCCCGCGGTCGTTGCTGCGACTTCTCTTCGTCGTCGCCCCTCCGACAGCACGGCGGCCGACACCAACACCGCCGGCAGGGGGCTGGATTTTGAACGACGGGATTCCGAGGAGCTCCTGGAACTCTCGCTCAGGGCCGCCGCGGAGAAGCAAGGCACCGCACCGAGTAGCAGCAGCGCCAAGAACGGTGACCTCCACCGCAGCAGCCATGCCGAAGCGAAGCGGGTTGCCACCAGCAGCAACAACAACAACAAAAGAGGTGGTGGCTCCTCAACAACAACGACAGCGACGCCGTCAGCACTTCAACGACGTTCGCCCTCAGCAGCAGCACCGCAACCGATAACCCCTACACCAGCTAGGCGTCAACGGCATCACCACCACTACAGGAAAGGCGGCGAGGTCCTCTTCATCGCGGAGGGCGTGGCGCAGGCCGCTCTTGGGGTCATCCGGGACCCCGTCCGTGGCGCGCAAGCCGACGGAGCTAGGGGCTTGGTGCGGGGGTTAGGGTCGGGAGTTGCCGGCGTCGTCTTGAAGCCCGTCAAGGGCGTGGCCAAGGCGGGCGTCAACGCCTACACCGGGGTTAGGATAGGGGTCTCGAAGGCCGGGCGTGTGGTTGTTGGGAGCAGCCGCGGTGGGAGTACGAGTGCTCCCTCATCCGCCTCTAAGGTGCGCTGCGGTTGGTTTGTTACTCCGACGCTGGATGGATGTCTTGTGCACATGCCCCAGCGCCGGCGCAAGCAGCTACGTTACAGCAGCCGACGGATTGTATCGAAAGTGTCTTCTTGTGTTCGTGTTCGGGTTTCCACACAAAGTTGGCGTGTGTTGAGGGCGGCGGGTTAATGTTATGCGCGTCTGTACCTGTGCCATAGCTCGCACTTGTCCGGATATGTTGTACACACCCCGCACGGCACAACAAACCCAGGAAGATCACACAACGGTCACTACATTTTTCTTCACGCATCGCATGTCGAACAGTTCGTTCTACGGTACAGCGGTGAAGACGATCTGCTAATGTCCGTGTCGAGATTACCGGCTCTGCGGCAGCATGCTCTAAGTAAACCTCTCGCGAGCAACATCACTCAGCTCATCATACGCAGGCGAATAGGGCACATGTTGCTGCTGGACGTTTGAACTTAAAGATGGGAGTGTTGAGTGTTTGGGTGAAAGCCTAACTACATATTTGAACCTTGTTCGAGCCAGCCAAGTGTCGAAGGGCATGGTTGAAGTCTTTGTAGGGATTAGCATAGTCTAGAGTAAAATCTTCTGGATACGGCAGGCTCTTGAAAAGCTACCCTTTGTTCAATTCAAGTTCTGGCAATCTGTGATTTGGATGGGTTGTTTGCAGGTGTTCGCTTGTTGTACGGACTGTATTATCGGTATAAACCCGGTGGTAAGAGTAGGTGGGGGCTGAATTCGACTCTTGAGAGCTTTTCAGTGCTGGAGTGGCCCATGCGATTTGGTTTGTTGCCTTGGAATAGACGGGAGGAGGAGGAGGTGCCGGATAAAAACCTCGCAGCACATATCAGACCAATGTTCATTATGAAAACACAGAAAGGAACCAGGAGTGCTATCATTCGAGCACACGGCCATCAGACGCAAGAAATCGCGTACAAGTTGTTGAGGCTACACACACTGTTAATATTTCAACAAAAGTTGGAGAACTCCTTTTGGAGAACACCAACCATTTTTGTGAATGAGCGCAGGGCTCTTAGAGGCGGCGAGGCTTCCAACAGGATAGTCACTCCGGGCGAAGAGTCCTGCGCGTGTTGGATGGCGGTTGCACCAACGAATTTGCGGAATAGCGTTCACACCCGTAGTTCTACGGGCTGCAGTAGTATGAAGCAAACTCCGGGAGATAATGTGTCTCCCTCCAAACCTGTTGAGAGCAAAAGCACGTAGTTTGTAGTTGAACGCCGAGCCCGTGTTGTCGATTGAATACCGTACCCAACAATCGCTACTACGGTACCTTGGGACCTATGAAGGATTGATAAATGCGTGGTACAAAATTGTTTTGAACCCTACAGGGAGACTGTTTGAGCAATGGCTGCCGTTCACCAGGAAGCAATGACGCATACAAGGAGACTTATTTATTGAGCAATTACGCCCGTTCACGTGGGAACGCCGAGGCGCGCTCTGTGCTATCACGATAGTTTAGGTGGCAAAATGTGCCAATTGTGGCCAGCAGCATTGCTAACTTGTTTCCATCCCGCTCCACTCCCGCCCGCACAACACGTTCCTGGTTTTCCACAAGACGCCACGGGGAGAAGAGGAGGCTGCTTCTTCACGAGGCAATGGCCGACAATCGTCATCTTCCGAAGCCGCTCAGCCAAGAGGAGGGAAGGGAGGGGGGGGGGGGTTAGAGCGGCTG